GTGTGTGTGTGTGTGTGTGTGTGTTATATATATATATATATATATATATATATATATATATATATATATATATATATATATGTTTACGTATATGTATATGTATATATACATATTCACGAAATACATTATATAATATAGTATATGAAATAAAACGCATCTGCGATATTTTATTACATCAGCTATATATCAGCTACTACACCTGTACAATTCCTTTAATATAGCTATAAACTACAGCAACTAACTACAAAATACAGCCAATATGCCTATATAGATCATTTGATAATACTGCAAAATAAAGGCTATATGCCTATACAATTCCTATATTACAGCCGTGAAATACTGAATACTATATTTCGTAAATTTATATATATTGATTGTACTTAAGGCATATTTCAGAAATATGGCATATTTCATAAGTATGGCATATTTCAGAAATATGGCATATTTTAGAAATATGGCATATTTATATAAAAAATATGGCATATCTTAGAAATATGGCATATTTTAGAAATGTGGCGTATTAATGGCATATTTTTCAATATGGCATATTTCAATTTTTAAATACCAAATATTATTTTTACCATATTTCTGAAATCAACACGCGCATTACATATTTTTTCCGAATTTCATAGCATATTTCATATTTTATATTTAACGTTTTCAGCTATTTTTCGCCATATTTATTTTCGAAAAATATGTGCTCCTCTGTGTACACACTCTAGAGTCACTGTCTTTTACACCTCTCTCTCTTCTTCTCTCGCTCTACTCTAGTAGAGTACATAGTGTTCTCTGATAGTAGAGAGCTATGTAGTATGTAGTAGAGTGAGAGGCCTCTGAGCCCTGAGGCTCTGACTTCTGGGCCCCTTGGCCCTGGGGCCCTGGGGCCTAGGCCCTTGGGGCTGGGGTGACTAGTCCGGAGACTTCGGACGTCCGTCGTCCGGTCTAGCATTTACTGTTTTTAAAACCACTGGTCGAGAGTCGGGAAGTTTTGGAATTAAGAGTGGTCTTAAGCAAAAAGCAGAGATGATTGTTCAATCCGACGTGCGCAGAGTACGCAACTCCTCCTTATCTCGTGGCCTTCTTGTATATAAAGCAAAAATAGCCAATAAACAGTGCTCATTTAGGAAAAGTATACGTGGTCAATAAGAAACTGATTGTTGTTGTTTTTTTTTAACAAAAGTTAAATAAAAAAACTCGATCAATTTTTCACTTTCGACTTTCGAAGTTTCGAGTTTCGAGTTTCGATGTCTGATATATAGATTTACGGCTTAATGAGTCACGTCTGACATGACTGTTGAACGACTGAACTAACTGTTACTGTGAACTCTTGTGTTGTGTGAATGTGAGTGTGAACTGTGAAGTCAGAACTTAGAACTGTCAGAACTCAGAACTCAGAACTCAGGACTCAGAACTCAGGACTCAGGAGTGTGGTCACTGGTCTTAGGGAGAGCTTGTGAGACTTTCGGGGCAGTGGGGCTTGGGGCCTTGGGCCCGCGCCTCGCCGTGTATGTACGTACTTATACTGACGCCTGACCGTCTGCCGGTTGATAATTGACGCAGTAATATTTACTGTGACAGTGTAAGGCTAGAGAGGCCACTCTGGCACTCGGCACTCGGCAAGGCACAGGAGCTTTTTAAAACACAGGTTTATTAGTCTGATGTTATTGGCCACTTTACGGTAGCAAAAAGGGGCCAACCTCTATAAGAGACTCGGACAGTCGGACCTGACTATATCCTGTGTACTAACTTTCTCCCTACAAAGTACTTAGACTACTTAAACGTAAAGGTAGATAACTACCACGAAATTTTTCTTAAGCACAGTCATTCCTTAGCAGAATAGGACTGAAGTCATAAGTTAAGATTATGACAAAGAAAGACTACGCCTGCAAAGAAACGCAAGGCCGAACGTAAAAAGATGGAAAGAGAAGCTGCTAGCGCTGCAGCAGCTACCGCTGCCGCAGAAGCAACCGCAGCTGCTGCCGATGCGTTTAACCGCACCGTAGCCGAAGCACTTGTGTCCGACAATAATAGTCAGAAAAATGCCTCGGATAAGGATGTAGCCACTCCGATTAAGAAAACTACTCCTACAGATAGAGCCCGAGGGCCAACTATTGCCTCAACTTCGAAGCTTGCATTTACGAAGCCAAGAAGTGAAACAAGGTACACGTCTCAAGACGCCCCAACCAATTCTTCTGACGAAACTCAGAAAGAAAAGCCCCTAATTATAGGGGACAAAGACGAATCTCAGAAGGTACCTATACGGAATCAGAAGAAAAGGCAAGCTCAAGTGGCAAACCCGAATCTACGTCCGCGACCACTGAACCAACGCGCATAAGTAAGTCAATTACTGAAAACACTGATCTTAAGAATCAGTTAGCCGCCCTTATGAAAGGCCTGACTATTGAACATGTAGATCGAATGTATAGATCAGGAAAACATACACAGCACTTACGCGAGCATGTTTCTCCGGGCATTACTGAAGCCCTACAGAAGTGGACAGAACGTCGACAGGCAATTACGCCCGAAAAGCGTAAAGGCCTGAGCGCTACACCTGTGGCAGATGAGCCAGATGTGCTCAGCGTATCTATACCTTACGAGGTACTACCATCAGAACTCCAGGCTATTTATTCGC